TCTGTCTCTCTCTCTCTCACTCTCTCTCTCTCTTTTTCTTTCTCTCTCTCTCTTTCTTTCTCTCTTACGCGCGGACAAGCGATCTTTCCTTTTCCCTTTCGTCTGATATCTTCCGTATTTGTTCTGGTTGGGTTGGTGGGGGTGGCTTATTGCTCTAATTCAGCATAGTCTACTCCTAAACGACCCAATTTCTCCTGCGTGGAGTTGGTGTTTCCCTCAGATCTTTGTTTTTGGTAATTCGACTTGAAAAATTAATCGCCTACTGTACTAAGGAGTTTCACCTTCAACTTTGTTATTTGCAAGACTAAAAGACAGTGCCACTGATACACGTATTTCAATTTCAACTAGATTAATGACACAGACACTTTCTGCCAGCCTGTTTTACTTTTTTTTTTCCGGCATTAAATAAGACGTTATCGTGTCAATGTGTTTTATTTTACTCAAAACTCAAACCCTGCTCCATGTGTTTGCTGTTTTGGCAATGTGTTTCTCACGTCCCTTCTTGTATCTGTCTCCATAGCAACCTGAACGATGACGTGGACTGCAAGCCCCTCCTGCCGGTCAACAGCGAGAACAACGAACTCTTTGAGAAATGCAAGAACGGAATCATCCTCTGGTCAGTCTTCACACTAATTGTAGTTTTAAACATTTTATGCCTCCATCAACACAACTTTGATAATTGTAGTTATAATATGTTACACCTCATGGAAACAGTTTGGGAGGAGGGGGGTTGGGGAAGTTTAATGCAGCTGGCATCCCTTATATCATGCAACTGCCTTGTTAAAGAAAGATTTAAGTAGAAGGAAATAATGGATCCAGTCACTTCTTTTTTTCAGGAAAGCAAAAGTTGAAAGTTAATTTGCTTTTATTACTGCAACATGGCCCTAAGTTCAGAATGTTTCATGCTTTAGTTCAAAGTGAAATTTTTTTAAGGAGGTAAATGTGCAACTACCAGGTCATAACCGTTTTTTTAATTTTTGACCAAATTTTTAAGTTCCTGGAGCATGAATGTGCATAAACCTTAATTTTTAAGAACATTTTTTATCGCCATAGTTCTTTGTGGACTCCAGTAATCATGTTTGGGTGTTATATGATACTACCAAAGTCTTTGCACATTGACTGTGGACGTTTGTTGGGGGAGGTTGGAGGGCACCTCTGGTAGTTCATACTTCTTTCCCTTCCTTCTATTATTTCTTTCTGTCTGTCTTGCTCTTTCTCAACCTTAAATGACTGGTATTGTGTCATTGCACTTCTCTTTACTCCACAAACAAACAAAGGGCGTCACTAGTAGTTCCTACTTCCTTCCTTTCCTTCTAATATTTCTTTCTGACTGTCTTGGGGGGGCTCTCGTAGCCTAGAGGTTAAGGTGTGTTGGCCTCTCATTCAAAGGTCCCGGGTTCGAATCCGGGTAGCGACCAAAAAATTTTCTTCTCTAAAATTGTCTCCTTTCACCTCCTTTCCTGCTCTCTTGCAATGTTCTGTTGTCTGCTTTCATTTCCACTTTCTGCCCTCACCTCCTTTGCCCCCTCCTCTGGGCTCCTGACTCTTTCTGCAGCCTTTCTACTGCTACTCCTTGGCTCCTCCTTACTGCTGTCTTTCTGCCACACCCCTGATCTTCTGGTAGGAAAGATCTACACCTAGCCTTCTCGGACAAGGGCGAAAAATCTCGGAGGGCCCGTGTGCAAGTTGCGCACGTTAAAGATCCCTTGGTGGTCTAAAATCGATAAGAGTAGGCTTCGGCCGCCACCCGGGCAAAATTCAAAATTTCCTACCAACTGAAAATATTAGGTGTGTCCCGCGTGCTCACTCATATGATCTTATGCAGTTGCGAGCGCCGTAAAACACTTTACAAAAACAAAAATGACTGTCTTGCTCTTTCTCAGCACTAAATGACTGTTATTTTGTTGATGTGCTTCTCTTTACTCAAACAAACAAACTCCTTTCTCAGAATTTCTTACCTCTTTATTTGTAATTTACTTTTCCGATCCAGCGGCCATCTGATTTTGAGTTGTCTGGCCTGTCGACATGGCAAAGAATTACAGGATTTTATCAGCTGCCTTTTAATTTCTTGCTTCCTACAGCAAGCTGATCAACAAGTCTGCCCCAGGCACCATAGACGAGCGAACCATCAACAAGACGAACCTGTCAGTGTACCGGCGGCACGAGAACCTGACGCTGGCCATCAACTCGGCCCAGTCCATCGGCTGCAGTGTGGTCAACATCGGCCCGGATGATCTCGACATGGGCAAGCCGCATCTGGTGTTGGGTCTGCTCTGGCAAATCATCAGAGTGAGTCGGGGGAGGCTGATGCTGATGGCTCTGTTGTGTGTGTTCTTTCTTTGTTGTCTGCTCCTGGTGGGAATAACATTTGTTCCGTCTTTATTTTCTATTGACTACTTACTGCTTTTTGTAAAACTCTGACATGTTGTTTTGAAAAATGACGTATGATGGTGTTTTACTCCGAGCTGTAGGAATGTTGTTGTGCTGACTTTTGTGTCTTCTTTCATCGTGTAAATCAGCCGAGGTTTTTGAGAGGGAAGGTTTTTTTGGGCAGTGAAAAGATTTTTCGTGGTTGGTTGGCGGGTGCTCTGGTCTTTTTTTGCTCCTTCTTTCCTATCAAACATCTATCGTCCTTATCTCCCCTTCTTCTTTTTTATGTTTGTTACTCTCCTGTAACACCTCTAATCTTCTGGCGCTCATATGACCTTATGCAGTTGCGAATGCCGTAAAACTCTTACTAAAACTAAAGATTTTTCCAGAAACATGTTACTCATTTTAAGCATAATACTATGGAAATATTGCATCTTTCCTGCCCTTGCACTAACCTTGTGCAGATGGACGGAGAATACTACTGGTACTGGTAGGTTCTTCTTTTCTTTCCTCATGCTGTACTTGTCTGTCGTTCCTTCTTTCTTATCAAATATCTATCATCCTTATTTCCACCCCTCCTTTTCTTTTAATATTATCTCCAATAACACCTCTAATCTTCAGCACTTGTTAACTTTTTGTATTGCAAATGATGTAAAACTCTAACTAAAACTAAAAGTCGTCCTTGCACTCGTTGTTTGCAGGTGGTCAAAGGACACCCCTCATTGGTTTTACTTTTCTTTCCTTTCCATATTTTGTTTCTCTGGGCCTCTCTTGCTTTTCCTGGCACTAAATGACCACCAGTGACGATATTCTGCTTCTTTTTCAAACAGAAACAAATAAAATCACGAATACTGCTTCTTTCCTTCCCTTGCACTCATTGAGCGAGTAGTTTTTTCTTTATTGTGGGTGGCTGGAGGGTGCCACTGGTAGATCTTTCTTTTTTCTTTCCCCTCTTTTGTTTGTGTCTCCTTTTCTTGCCTTTTCCCTGCACTAAATGGCCATCACTGTGTGTGGGTGGTTGGCGGGTGCTCTGGTGTGGTCTGCTTCTTCTTTCCTATCAAACATCTATTGTCTTTATCTCCCCTCCTTTTTTGTATTTGTTACTCTCTTGTAACACCTCTAATCTTCAGCACTTATAATATGACCTTATTGTGTTGCAAGTGCCATAAAACACTTACTAGAACAAACATCACTGTGCTGGTGTGCTTGTTCTTGCTCAAAGAAAAACAAAGAACCACAAAAATTGCTTGTTTCCAGCCCTTGCACTCATTGTTCTTGCCATTATTTTCCCGCTGTAGATCGGTCTGCTCAGCGACATCAACCTGGCCCACCACCCCGGCCTGGTGCACCTGCTGCAGGAGGACGAGACCCTGGAGGACCTGCAGAAACTGTCGCCCGAGCAGATCCTGCTGCGCTGGGTCAACTACCACCTGGCCAACGCCGGCTGCATGAGGCGCATCAACAACTTCTCCGAGGACATCAAGGTGAGAGCTTTTGTCTGACCGTGCTTTGTTGATCACACTTTGTCATTTGTCTGATCACATTTTCTTGTTTGTCTGATCACACTTTCTCGTTTGACCGCGCTTTGCCGTTGACTGTATGTCACCACTATTTTGATGACATGGTCAATAGGAGGTCTCTAGGATTTTGCCGCTATTATGATTAGAGATTTTATACAGGTCTCTTTGATATTTTGTGTTGTCCTCTTCAAGATTTATACATACGGTATAACACGGATAGCTCAAATTCGTAGGGACCGGCCTCGGTAGTTCGAGGGATATCATACAAAGATAAAGAAAACAAAAAACCAGGACCGCAGGCACAGTTCGACGGATGCGTGTATTTCATGTCTTCTTTGTTCTACCTATCCATGTTGTACTGTAGTTGTTCTCTTCATGACTTATATTGGGATGAGGGGGATGGGAAGAAGAGTGAACATGCAGAGGAACAATATGAGGGAGGAGGAGAGTGTTTCCTTGGGGGCGGGGGTTGAAATGAGTATGGTAGCCTGTCTCTTAAGGACTTTATATCCCTGTCCAGATTAGCCTGGCTAAGTTGAAGCTGCCACCTCCTGAGTGACTTAAATTGTGCTGATGGGAGCTTCCCACATTTTCTGTTACAATAACTCTTTGCGTTGTTCTTCCCTCAGGATTCGGAGGCGTACACCTATCTTCTGCACCAGATCTCACCCAAGGATGCAGGCGTGGACCTGTCACCACTTGGGGTAAGTACATGATACACACATCTTACACAGCAGTTGACACTGTTCTTTTGTTCGCTTATTTCAAGGTTTAATTTTTCGTGTTATGTAAAGTGAAGGACTTGGGCTTAGTAGTTATTATTATTAATGTTATTATTATTGTTTTTGTTTTTATGTTATATATTTTTTTTTATCATTATCTTTATTATTTTTATCGTTATTATTGTTATTGTTGTTTTTGTTTTTTTTAATTTTTATTATTATCATTATTGTTATTATTTTTACCATTATTGATATTTTTGTTATTATTTTTATTATTATCATTATTGTTATTTTTATCATTATTGTTATTGTTTTTATCATTTTTGTTATTGTAATTTCTTGTGTTTGGCAGGCGTCAGAGGGCCTCGAGCGGGCTGAGGCCATGCTCCAACAGGCACAGAAGATCGACTGTCGCTCATTTGTTGGGCCGGCCGATGTGGTGGACGGCAACGCCAAACTGAACCTGGCCTTTGTGGCCAACCTGTTCAACAACTACCCGGCCCTGGAGGGAGTGGACTCGGACATGCAGCTGGAGATTGTGGAGGAGACCCGGGAGGAGAAGAGTGAGTAGTGGGAGAGGGGGGGGGGGGGGGGGAGTAGGAGATGGAGTGTTGAGAGGGATGAGGGGAAGGTGGAAGGAGTGAGTGGAGTAGACCCGGGAGGAGAAGAGTGAGTAGTGGGAGGATGCAAGGCTGCGTAATCTACCGATTTTTCCGGTAGATGCCGATTTTGGGCCTGCTCTACCGCCATACCGATAAGGTGTCAAAACTACCAGATTTGCGATGGGTGCCGAAAGAAGGGAGGAACAAACCTCTTTCTGCAGTGCTTCCATTCTTCTTTGTTTTTGCGGAAATCCATACATTCCGAAAGTTCCGTACTTGCCACATCGTCATATCACCTCCATGCGTTAAAGAGAGAGAGAGATCAGCTCTTCACTTCCCTCAGTAACTTGTCAGATATTTACGGCAACTCCCGGCAATAAGTTGTATTAGAAACTGCCGGATTGCGCATTTCGTACACTTGACCATTGTCTATCTGTGCCGTTCGGTCGGCAATAGTTTTTCTCGTGCATATCGGCTAAAATCTGTCTACTCACGATAGATAATCTTCCTCTTTCCTTTCATTCATTCTTTCTTTCTGTCTATCTTCGGGTTTTTGCTGCGGCTGGAAAATCTGTGCATTTAATTCATTTATCCAGAAAACAGAATTGTGAATGTAGAAAGAAAATCGATATCAAAGCAAAATATTCTAAAATCTATCTTGGTCTAGAGAATTGGTCAGTACCAAATGAGGATTCTACGCAGGGGGACTGCGGGAATCTGGGGGGGGGAAAAAACGCTGAGACCCGAGAAAATGCACAAAGCCCTTGATACCAAGTCTGAGTTCATATTTTACTGGTCGCGTTCGTGTCGGCTTTCCCCAGTCCGAGAGTACGTTTCTTGCGAATAAGCGGCTATGGCGGCAGGGGGAAGTGTAGGTGTAATACTGAGACTCCATCGGGAAAATCAAAATCTACTTTCGCTTTCATTACCGCTCAGAATTCTCTGATGATAGGCCCCTACATGTAATTTGTTAACGTTAGATTTACAGTTAATAAAATTTGTAACATGCAGTTTTTGCATAAAAAACAGTGTTGCCATACAAATTAAATCGATCTTCTCACTGATGTCGCTATAATGACAAAACAAGAAAAAAAAACAACAAGCGTCCTCCGATTTCTAGATTGTCAGGCCCATCATCGTGACAGGTCAGTGAACATGTGAGAGTTCGTGAGTACGGCATGAATAAGGGACCGGCCGTTGGTTGTTGTACTGTACTGTAGTATAGGGTTTTACGGCGCTCGCAACTGCTAAGGTCATATGTGGTTGTTGGTGAAAGCCTAATCAAAGTTCATTCAAAGTAGGAGAGCGTTGCAGGGCTTTGGAATTGAGGGGAGGTGTTAGATGTAATAAAGTCTACGGCAGCAGGATAAGGATAAGAAACTGATGCTAAAATAAAAACGATAAGTGGAAGTGGTTTTGACTTTTGACAATCGAGTGCGTAAATGGGGGAACATAGAGCACAGGCTTGATGATTGTATCTTCAAGGTTGGTGTTCCCGGATTTGTCTGATTTGTCAGTGATGACAAATTGAATAGTGGCAATGAGGAAATGCCATTTTCAACCCTCGGAAAGCTCAATGTTGGATGCATAAGCATCATTATGGCTTGTTGCTGATTAAAACGGGTACTGTGATTTAGTATTTTGAAAAAAAAATCAATACTTAGTCCATGATGCAGTGATTCACTGATTGCCAGGTTTTCAGCATCACTACACCCCATGCTCTCACAGTCCTTCCAGTTCCGGCTCTCAGTACACACTTTCTTTTATTTTCACTTTTTGCTCTGCCATTAGCCTAACTATAAAGGTTTTATAAATAAGTTTTTAAGTTTTGTCATGACTTGCATGCTTTTTTAAATCCGTGATTGCTGAAACCTAACATGGTTTTGGCAGTTGATGTTCTTCTTGCCTCTCCTCAGGCCCAGATCAGGATTAATTTTGTATTTTTAGGGTAAAAATAGTTAAAATTAATTGTCTGTCATACCTAAGTCACAAAGGACTTATCACTAGTGTCCTATGCTAGTGTCAGGAAATATGTTTTAATATAGTTTCTATTGGTATGGGCTAGCGGTTTTGAAGTCAGCTTGGCAGTGACCCTGCACTCAATTCCCGATTCAATACTGAATGATAGGTGCCTTGAATGATAGTCCATAAATGCTTTTAAAAAAATAAAAACCTCGCCTCATTTCATGCACACTGTACATCTTAACTTGCGCACACCCAAACACCCCCTTCCCCTCCCCACATATATAAACACGAACGAGAGCATGCGCACATGCACACACACATGTGTATGCACAAACAAGTTTTCAAAATATAATTACCCAATATCACGGAAAGCAAGCGTGTTCGATGGGGCAACGGTCATTTTTTTCCTTGTCTTTGTACAACCTGATTTTGGGCCAAACTACCTGAAACTGACCCTGAATCTACCTGAAATGGGAACTTTGAGGTAGGAAGCCCTGGAAGATGGGA